GGACTGGGGGGTGGCGCGGGGGCGATGCCACCGGGTCCTTGTCCCCGCCGGGTCCTTGTCCCCCCCGGGTCCTCGTCCCCGCCGAGCTCAGCTGGGAGGATGGGACCGGGGTGTGGTGATGGACGGGGGCTACGGGGCGGATCCCGGTTTTTATGGTGGATCCCGGTTTTTATGGTGGATCCCGGTTTATGTGGTGGATCCCGGGCGATGGGGTGGATCCTGGGTGTTCGGGTGGATCCTGGTTTATGAGATGCATCCCAGCCGGGGTGGTGGAGCCCGGGTGTCACAATGGATCCCGGCTGAAGTGGTGGAAGCCACTGGACGGGAGGGATCATTGGTGATGTGGTGGATCCTGGCTGCAGTGGTGGATCATTAGTTATGTGGTGGATCCTGGCTGAGGTGATGGATCATCAGTGGTGTGGTGGATCCTGGCTGAGGTGATGGATCATTAGTTATGTGGTGGATCCTGGCTGCAGTGGTGGATCCTGGGAGTTTTAATGGATCCTGGGAGTTTTAATGGATCCTGGCTCCCCCGATGGCCCCTGGCTGATGTGATGTGTCCTGGCTCAAGTGACAGATCCCTTCCCATCCCTTCTCCAGCACTGTTACTGCCATGTCCAGCAGTAACCAAAGCATTGAGTGACCCAGCCCTGTCCTTCCCAGGCCGTGTCCCCTCTGTCACCCCATCAGGGCCACAGGGGTGCCCAGGCTCACCCCCAACCATGTCCATGCTCTGGCACTGCTGTCACACCCTCCCTCCCAGGCCAGGCATGGAGCAGGAGTCCAAAGTTCTGGATGAGAGCTGATCCCATTCCAACACCTCTGCAGGAGGGAAGGGTGCCCAGGGCTGTCCCCAAACCCCCAGTGGGTCTGGGGGGAGGAACATGGACCCTGGGCAGACTCACCTGGCTCTCCAGCCTCACACCCGAGGTAAACACTCAGTGCTAAATTAGACTTTAAAAAATAAATTTATAACCCTTGGTTTCATCATATTCCTCCCCAAATCCACAGCCAGGCTGCTGCTGGCTGAGCTCTGAGACCCCCAAAAGACAGGTGCCCATGAACTTCGTGGCTCAGGGGTTGATGCTGGATCACAGTTTGGCTTCAAACCTTGGGCAGAAATGGTGTCAAAGCCCAAATCAGCTCTTGCTGAATTTAACCTCAGGGCTGGGAACAGATTAATCCCAGTGTGGGGTCACAGGGTGCTGGGCCCTGCTGAGGGTGGGACCGTGGGAAGGGTCAGCACGGTGCAAACACTCCAAAATCAAACATTTCCATGCACTGAGCCAAAATAAGTAATTCCTGGTGAAATGAGAAGCTTCTTCCCCTCCATCCGTTGGCCACATGTCACCCTGTTTGTACAAGTGCTCAGACTCACTGGGATTCCCCAAACAGACCCTCTGGAAAAGGGTTTTTAAGTCCAGCAGCCACCCAAGTGCAGCACAAGGACAGGGATGGTCCTGGATGCTGAAAATGGGGGGAAACTGGTGGGAAAGAAAGGGCAGTTTTGGGGGTTCTGTTCACACCGGATGAAATGCAGAGCTGGAGCTTCCCCAAGACAGGGAATTAGGGGAATAAGGGATATCAGGACATCACCTGGGCAGCAGGGGATGAACCATCAGCTCTGTGAACCACCAAGCCCAGCCTGCACAGAGAGCAGGAAGGGTGGGAGGACAAAAGCAGCAAAGAAACCACAAGGAGAAGATTGGAATTCCCAGGGAAAGGCATTCCCTGCCCCTTCCTGCAAGAGCTGCTGGGCTTGGAAAGGCCAAGGAACACTCAGGGGATGTTCACTTCCA